GCCGGCTCAGCTGCACTCTGCGTGATTTTCTCTTTCTCATTTTGTTTTAACCATGCAAACCCGTGACCAGGATGACAAACCCACTGACATTCTCCCAAAGATCTACGCGAAGCCCGGAAACAGAATCCCTCCCCCACCCCAGCCACATTAAAACATAGCTTGAGCTTGATTTCATTTTTTCACAGGAGCAGGATTCATGCAAATTCTGTTGGCGTGTGTGTGTCATTTGCAAGAAGCGAAGGTGTTAGGGACACATGCAGATCTTGACTAGCTTTCTGCCGATTTCCTTCGTCCTCAATGCAGAGATCTACACAATCTAGGCTTTTTTTCCCCCCTATTAGTCTCAAGTGTACAGTACGTTGGTTAGACATTTATATAGTTTATCGAACGATCCCCCCGATTGCTCTTTCTCCCCTCTGGCTCTCCACCTAGCCATGACCTGCCTGCTGACTGCATGCCCCGTGCCGTGCTCCCCATCCCCGCGACCATCTGTCAAATACTAACTTCTACTTCTTTAACCCTTCACCGCTTTCTCCCAGCCCCCCAATCCCCTCCCCTCTGGCCGTCACCAGATTGCCCTCTACATTTGTGAGTCTCTTTTCGATTAGTTTGTTCTTTTTGTTCCTTAGATTCTGCATATAAGTGAAATCACATGCTACTCATCCTTCTCTGTCTGACTTATTTCGCTCAGCATAATAACCTCTAGGTCCATCCATGTCGTTGTAAATGGCAGGATTTCATATATGTATTTTTTATGGCTGAGTAATATTCCATTGTATATATGAACCATGACTTCTTTATCCAGTTGTCTGTTGATGGGCACTTAGGTCACTTCCATATCTTGGCTCTTGTAAATTGTGCTGCTGTGAACACAGGCTGCACAGATCTTTACGAATTATCGTTTTGGTTTTCTCTGGATAAATACCCAGAAGTGCAATTGCTGGGTCAAAAGGTAGATCCATGTTTAATTTTTTTTTCATTTTTAATATTTTGAGGAACCGCCAGACTGTTTTCCGTAGTAGCTGTACTATGCTTTCTTCCCCCTCAGAATTTGAGCAAACTGCACTATCGCTGCTTTTAAGTTTTTGTGTGTGTGTGTGTTTTTTTTTAACTTCTTATTTTGAAATACAAGAAGTTACAAAATAGTACATGGACTCCCATGAACCCTTCGCGTAGCTTCCTCTAAAGGTGACATCTCACATGATTATCATGTGAGATATCAAAACCAGGAGATTGATGTCGGTACAATACTGTTAACTAGACTACAGAATATCTGATTTTTAAAAAGCACACATATTTTAAAGTCCTAAAATAATACTTCTAAATGCAAATAGTATCCATCTTGATAATGGGGTGGGGAGGTGGGCCAGGAATGCAAATACTCTAAAGGCAGGAGCCAGGCGTGATGCCGGATGTTGGTGTAAAACACCAACAGCCAGTTGTCAGAGTACGCTCAGGACTGTGCCCGAGAGGGAAGGCCAGCGGGACGCCGGGTGGCCCGCACGGGGAGGCAGGGAGTGGCGACTTCCCGGACGGCTCAGTGGGACTTCTGTTGCACCGTTGGTGTCTGTTCCCCCAGAGCCAGGCTGTGGCCACAAAGAAACTGTCCTCATACCCCCACGATGAGACATGTACGTCCACTCGACTGGAGAAAGCACAGATGACATTTGTAGAAAAATAATGACTTTTTAATAGACTTTATTTTTTAGAGCAGTTTTAGGTTCACAGCAAAATCGAGAGGAAAGTGTAGAGTTCTCACCCCCCACCCACGTGCCCAGACTCTGACACTGTCCACATCACTCAGCAGAGTGGAGCCTTTTCACCAAGGACGTGTCGTCGTCACCCAAAGTCCAGAGTTTGCCTCGGGGTTCCCTCTTGGTGCTGTACGTTCTGCAGGTCTGGACAAACGTGTAGCGACACGTGTCCACCACTAATAATATCACACAGAGTGGCTTCGCTGCCCTGAAAGTCCCCTGCTCCACCTCTGCATCCCTCCCCACCCCAACCCCTGCCAGCCACCCATCTTTTTACCGGCTCTGTAGTTTTGCCTTTTCCAGAATGTCGAAGAGTTGGAGTCATACGGTACGGAACCTTTTCAGCTTGGCTTTTGTCAGTAATGTGCATTTAATGTTCCTCCGTGTCATTTCATGGCTTGATGGCTGATTTATTTTTAGCTTCTGGATAATATTTTGCCTGGATGTAGAACCGTTTCTCGGCCCACTCGCCCATGGAAGGGCATCTCGGCTGCTTCCGCGTTTTGGTGATTGTGAATCAAGCCATCCACCTCACTGCGCAGGTTTTGAATTCAGTGTCCAATCCTCCGGTGTGGCATGGTATGGACGTCTGTGTCTGTGTATCTCATTCATGTGAGCGACAAACGTTTTCTTTAAAAATCGCCCTCTCCCCTGTCTTTGGATGGGCGGTGAGGTGTGGGCTTATTTTGGTCTTTTATTTGGTCTCGTCCTGAGTGGGATGGGCAGGATCACCGTGTGGTCTCCCGCTTTGTCAAGACTCCACTTAACACCCTGGGGTTAGGCTGTACCCATCACCATTCCCCTGAGAGAACTTGTTTGTGTCAGGGCGGAAAAAGTTCCTGACTAGCTGGCTGCTCCTTGGCTTTTAACCTAGTTTCTTAATCCCTGTAATCTCTAAACTTCCTCTTACTCACTTAAAACCGACTGGAGTATCTGGAAGTGTTTTCCTAGCCTTAATACCTAGGACCGTGGCTCATAAAATCCCCCCCTAGTATTTGGAGCTGTCCTGTTTGTAAAAATATCTTTGTATCGGAGCAATTTTTACACTCTCTGCAGCCTTTTCTGACGGAGTGTGTTGTTGATCACCAGGATGGGGACCAGAACGTCCATTTAAGCCCTAGACAGCTGAGTGAAGACAGGGCCATTAGCGGAACTAGGGGAAAAGTTAGGCGATGTCTGAACCATAAACTCTGCACCCAGTACATGCTTGGAATTCAGTTGCAGTCGGCTTGTTTATAAAGGGTTTGGCAGTGAGATAATTTTATCTTCCATAAGGCGCTGACCTGATTTCCTTGAGGGCTACAAATGTGCCACCAATTTTAGCTGCCCCCTTAATCATAAAGTTGTTTTAAAGAGTGAATTCATCCTTGTCCGCCATGCATTCCCAGTTTGTTTACCCTTAGGAGAAGCTGGAGGGGGGTTGAGTGAACTTCAGGAAGGACGAAGGCTTGTTTCTGCAGCGGTGGCTGCCTCGGGTGAGCCCTCGGGTGTCCCTGGTGAGCCCTCGGGACAGTGCAGGATCTGCCAGGCGAGTGATCTCCGAGGACTATCCACTGCTTGGTCCTCTCAGAGCTGGACCCTGGACGTACATGTTACTAGTCAGGAGATTAAAGACGTGGCAACACAGTTCTGGACCCCTTGCCCCCTCAGCTGAAACCCACCACGGTTGTTTGCAAGCTTAGAGGAGGGAAGGGTGCCCCCTTGTCCCATTGCCCTACTTGTAGGTTTGTGCAAGAAAAAATCCAGTGGGAAAGGAGCAGGCAGTAGGTACGCTGGTTCTTCCCGGAGAGAGTGTGCCAGCATCTAGGAGTGCAGCGGCCGCCATGCCTGACCCCAGCGACCGCCACCTCCCCAGCAGCCAAACGCTTTTTCTCTTTGGATCAGCGCACTCTTATTTCAAGAGTGGACTGGGACTGTCCCAGGGCCATTATAGAGTGTCATCCATCTCTGGCATTTGCTCCCACTGCAGAAAAACAAGTTCAGTGCAGTGCACTCGGGTTTCTGAACAGCTGCCGCGCGCCGAAACCTGAGTCAGCAGAGCTGTCGCCGGGGGAGCAGGGACTCCGGGGAGGGCTGTGCGCGGGGAGGCGGGGAGTCGAGGGCAGGGTGGCGACGCTCGGGTGCTGGTAAGGGAGGACACCGGCACGGGGCGGGGCGGGCGGGGCGGGAGCAGCTGTGCCGGCCGCACGGGAGCAGGCGCTGTCCCGGGCGAGCCATGCGGGACGTGAGCGACGTGTGGCAGCCTCTGCTCAGACTGTTCCGTTGCACTGTGGGTTTCGGGGAGCCCCGCCTTCTTTGCAGTCAGCACAGCCTCGGCGTGAGGTATGCGCCTCTGCAAGGCAGGGCAGCGCTTCTGTGCCCATGGAGCGCTTGCAAAAGCGCTTGCGGCAGCCCCACTCCAAGCGCCCCAGATCTTCGCGGGCGGCCACTGGCCTGACTACACGACTGTCATATGTCGCGAGCTGATGCAAAACCGCGAGGACCGGAGAGGCAGAAAGGAAAGACACACACGCCAAAAACTGGCGAGAAAGAGATGCAGCGGGGCTGTGCTGGGGAAACGGAGTGAATTGTAGGGGTTCGCATAATCAAGGTGCCACCTCCCCGTAGTTATTCCACGGCATTCCAGCCCCCTCCTCGTGCACAGCAGCCGGTTCCGGGAGAGCAAAGTTCAGGACAGGTCAAGGTTTCTAAGGGATTCAGGAAAGTAGGCGGGGTGGGGACGAAGGACCAGGGAAGCCCCCTCCCCGCGGGTGGCGGGGGTCGTGGTGGGTGAGACACACAAGTATTACCACGGAGCAGCTCTGGCAAGGAGTGACCCGGAGAGCTGGACCCCACGGAGCACTCTCAGCGCCCTCCCTCGGGGTCCCCTCGCCCCGACTTTTAAACCTAAGCCCAGGCCTTTCTTCGGCTTGACATGCCTGACCCGGAGCGCGTGTTAAGAATGCAGAGTATTGGGGTCCCGCTCCCAGAGAGGCCCGGGAGGCCGTGCGGGTCGTCTTGATCGGATGACAAGACGACGCTGACCGGGTAGGGTCTAAGGCCAAGGCTGCGTTCAGGGCGTTGTCAGCGGGACTGCCAGAGCAGGGCGCGCTGCCGCCGCGGGCCCGCAGGGGGCGCCGACGGGCCGCCTCCTGGCTCTCGCCCCACGCCCGGCTCCCCCTGCGAAGTGGGGCTGGAACCCGAAGAACGCGTCCCGCCCCTTGGCTGACGCGTGCGCCGCCGCCGGCCGGACTCTTAAAAGCCCAGGCGGAGCGCGGGGCATCCTAGCAGACAGAGCTGGAGAGCAGGCGAGCGGAGGGGCCGCGGAGGACTGGAGCTGGCGCCTGGGGACCGCGGCTGTCACTGCGCTCCCAGCATCCCTGGGACTAGCCCGGAACTGCGGAGGCGGCGGGTGCAGCCCCAGCCCCCCGCCCCTCTCGGAGCGCGCGTGGAGCCTCACGCTCTGGGCGGGCGTTCGTCACTTAGCACAAAGCACCTTTCCCACCAGCTGCGCCAGGGAGAGCGCACGGGCCGCGCTGCTGCGCACGCACCCCCTCTTCCCCTTTGTTTCGGGGGGTTCCTCGAGTCTGAGTTCTTCGCAAGGGGCTGAGGGCCACCGAGCTTAGGCTGCGAAGATGCCTTTGGAGCTGACTCAGAGCCGGGTTCAGAAGATCTGGATCCCGGTGGACCACCGTCCCTCGCTGCCCAGATGTGAGTGCAGGGGCGCGCGCGCCGGGCTGCAGGGGGGCGCGCGCCGCGTGCCGGGCGCGGCCT